ATCTGACTGACTGACATGCTGACATTTAATGCATAGTGTCGATCAGTTGACAAAATCGTATTATTGTCCAAAGGATCTACCCACTGAAGACAACAGATGGATGTTGAGCTAATAGGTTCGATTTCCTTATGCTGGGACGTGAATGTCAGTCTCATCCTAGGATGAAACGGCCGTCCAATAAGTAGTACTTGCAGTTTTTCAATGATAGTCTATAACAATGGTTGATTTGTGATTTCATATGAAAGTCAACACTGATCAACCCTAACTCTTACTCATACTTATCTTAAGCATTTCTTTCTGAAATGTCTGAATAAACTTTAATTGTTAATTTGAAGGTTGAAGTGGTACTGCTGATTGCAGAGGGGTATGACAGTAGTAATGTGTTCCTCTCGGACAACCGTCATCTGCAGCGATGCTGCCTTCTCAGGGTTAGAAAAGGTCGACCCTAAAAATGTCACACCTCACCCTACCTCACGGATTTCCGTCTCCAGTGGTAAGGGGCTGCCCAATAAGGACATTAAAAAGAGCGGATCTAATACTTTCAGAAAAAGGCCGTGCGTGACCGGCCTCAAGCAGTTGTCCTTCGGGGCTCTGCGGTGACGCTCCCAGGTCTCTAAGACTGACACTAATCTACCTTCCTTCCTGAATCATACTTCTTGAATAATATCTTTTTAATCCTAACCTCTCCGATAACTTCTAATACCTTTACTACCTCTTCTACAACTGAATTTGAATTGACAATTACATCTGTGTGCTGATGTGTTATGGCAACATGAACGTACGTACGAAGTTCTACGTTGCATCTGACTGACTGACTGACTAACTCTGAACTCATAAGAAATTCATCAATTACGGTCTTGAGATGCAAAATAGTCAGATATTTACTTTTAATGAATGCCTACTTTATTTGTTTATGTGTGTGTGTGTATTCTCTGTTCTATTTTTCAGAAGTAACATTTTCCACACAATCATGGTTGCTTCAGAATTTCTCGGTTATATTCAATCATTTTCTGTATGTAACTTTGTTGGATTTGAAGATTTAGCTGATCGAGCAAATTTTCAATGGAATGTTATCATATTACTGTTATGCATGGCTTTAGTAACAATGAGACAATATTTTATGACACCATTAGTGTGTTATTTACCGACAACAGTGAGTGGAATCAATGCTGATTCGTATATTACCAATCTATGTTGGATTGAAGGAACATTTCCGATTAATTTAACATCTGGCATTGTACCGCATAAACTACAAGATTGGGATGCACTTCGACCGCAACAAATGAGTATGTTTTTAATGATTTGATTGTTCGATAAATTGTTTCTAGGAAATGCTACATGCCCTTTTATCGACTGAATGAATATATAAGTCACTTCTTCATAGAATATTCCTTCCACAGTTCGATTGGCTTTTGCCAACTTGTGTCACCTATGCCGTAGGCGAGATATCTGTTTGCTAACCAAAGGACGAGTGTACTACGCAGAAGTTCGCTCTGTCCGGATGCGAAACAGGCCGGTGAGAGTAGAGGACATTCGTAGATTGCTTGTCTTTGATCTTAGGTGTCTCCGAAGGATTGCTCGTATTTCCTGGGACAGCCGGACAAGCAATGCAATAGTTAGGAAACGAGTTGAAGTATTGAAACTCCATCAGTTGAGGTTGTTGGGACATATATTGCTTATGCCTAACGACCGGATGCATCGACGAGCAATGTTTTGTGGTGTGGGGCGGCCAAACCAAAACATGGCACAAATCCATAAAGTCACTGACAAGTGGACTGAGTCATGTTGGTAGATGTAGGCTATCTGGTTGGGGTCCGCAAGACGATAGTCACCGATGGTTAGAGACTTTAAATGACATGGCTCAATGCAATGACGCAGGTGCATCCACTTTTTGTGTTTTCTAAAATTCTAACCTTCTGAATTCCTCATCATCTCTATATTTCTCTTTCTAAATTTATATCACTGAGATTTACTTCTCGAATTTTATCATACTTCTACTATGGCTACCACTATTGGATTTGAACTGACAGTTACGTCTCTGTGCTGATGTGGTATGGCAACCTGAACTTATATACTCATGTACGAAGTTCTACGTTGTAACTGACTGACTGGACTGAGCCATGTTAGTAGTAGGTGTAGACAATAGTCACCGATTGTTAGCAACTTTAAATGGCATGACTGAAAAAATCTTTTGCAATGGCGAAGATGCATACATTCTTTATAATCTCTAAAATTTTAATCTTTTGGATTCCTCAACACCTTTACCTTTCTCTTTTTAAATTTATTTCACTGAATTATACTTCTCGAATCATATCTTCCATCCGTGCTAATGTGGTATGGCAACTTGAACTGATGTACGTACGCACGAAGTTCTACGTTGTTCAGCTGATCGACTAATGTCAGCTTCTGAGTGTATCTATCTGTATCCTATAAATTGTAGCTCATTTTTTATGCCACTGTATTTAAAATGTACAAAATATCCTGTACACAACGCACAATTAAAGCATTCAAGTAACATATATATATGTACAACTGTGGTGCGAGCTACTTATAAGTAGTATATGACGTGAGTGTCAACGTAATGTCTGGCAGCAGAAGATGGGGGTGAGATCAAGAAAGGAAGAGTTAGAAGAACACAATGGAATTTGTATGAAACGCATGAATAGTAGTGACAATGGATTGATGTTGTTTGCAACAGGAACAGTCCAGTTCGATATGATGATGAACTGATAATTTGCAAATGAACGATTTACGATATGTTTTGCGATTTTACACTGAGTAACTCTGTAATTTTCGTTAAATACAATTCGGTTGCCCCACCTGTGTTCTCGTTCACTACACAACTATACTGCTACCAATCAGTAATATTTTGAATTTTAGTAGTCATAATATTAATGATACTATTGGCTAATAGCAGGTCAACAAAGAAATGCTTTATTTTAATGTTTTACAAGTAAACAATCTATTTTCTTAGAAAAAATCATTCTGTGATGTGTTTCTTCTTTGTTCGTAAAAAAGGAGAAAGATAAATAAAACTGAACTATTGTAGATTATTGAAATGCTCATTCTCATCAAGTAAAGTAGTAGTATATACATCATCTCTAATATATTACACATTCATTCAATCGATGATATTGAACCGATTGTCTGCATTGATCCAAATCGATTTATTGGTGCTTTTGAATGAATATTATTGGTTCGTTTTTGTTAGGATATTCACCAAATATCCTAAGAGTACTTTCCATTTTTGGAAGTATAATCCTATTGGTCGATTTCTATTGGTCAAAATTATGCTCGTTTTAACTGTCAAAGTCAAATACTTCAATGTTGTCTCTGATTGGTCTTCCGGACTGTCAATGTCATTTCAAATGTTTGTTTCCTATTGGTCGTCCTAAACTGTCAATGTCACAGACTTGGATGCTCTTTCCTATTCTGCCTAAATGTATAAATACTTACTATCTGTAAGATTTCACGATTCCGATTTCAATTCCGTTTCTTCCTGCCTACCTCACTCTTCTGTACTCGACCCAATAAACAACTGCATCCAACGATGTTGCGTTCTGATATACAGGAGATTTGGAAATAGCATTTTGGGTCGTATCGGGATATTTGAATTGGACGCCGCTAGGACTGAATAGCAGCTATACGTAGCAGCGTTACAACAGTTTTTTTCAACAAAAAAAGTGTGTATTGGCACAAAATGTATATGACTTTAACTACGCATTACTACTTTCTAATCTCACTACCTACCAGCAAGTAGCAGCATATCAGTGTAAAAAAAGTATCACTCCAATATAGATATCAGAGATTATTTGTTAATCTAAAGTTTTCTGGTGGCTATTCATGCTTTGTTAGTGTTGGCGTTTTTCTTTTGTTTATGGCACTTTTTGGTTGGTTTCATGTCGCCATATGTACACTTGTGTGTGTGCGTGTGCGTATGTTTCTGTGAATGTATGATGTAATCCTGTCAGATATCATTTTGATTTGAATAGAGTATTAAGCTTAAAATATGAATAGTTTTTTGTAAGAAATTCAAAACTATTTACACAAGTGAATAGTGTGTACCACCAATTGTGTGCGCGAGAATACAAATCTGATGATGACCCTCAGTTAAGTGTACAGAAGGTTTATTTTATTACTCACAATAGGTTCACTCATACATAGTACACAAGTTATATAAGTTCAATGTACACTACTGTTTTCTATTCTTTCTGTTATGTTGTAAACAACCAACCTATTTTCTTACTATATATATATATATATATATATATATATTCTTGTATAAGCATGTTTATTGACCTATCTTATACAATGTCTATTTATGCAGACAACACCATGCGAATTAAATGACATTGCCAAGTTGAAATTTACTTGAATGATAATTGTTGTATGCTGAACTTGTTAGTAACTGCTATTAGTGTGTAGAGGTGGTTAATGGTAACAGTGGAATTCAAGACGTGCGTTTCATCCTATTTGGGACTCGTCAGCTAGATGTACTTGCATCTTAGAGTGGATGTTCACTCTGCTACTTGAATTTAATGCTGAGTACCGAACAGGATTAAACGCGTATCCCCTAGATTCCACCGCCGCTAGCCACTACCCACCTCTGTTAATAATGCTAAAGGTTAATATCGAAGCAGTCCGCACAGGATACAACATATTTGACCAACAAAATTGACCGATTGCAGTCTTTAGAATCAATTGGGAGGTACAAACAACCAATACAAATGAATTGATAATAACTATTGATGTTATAACTATAGGATCCAAACTGAGGTTTGGACTGAGAAATAACTGCCTAGGTAGTTTAGATACGCGGCTTGCCAAATTTAAAACCAAAACAAAGTGATTTGGGTAAATGAGGGTTCTAATATTCATCATGCATATTAATGTACATCATTACCTAAACAAATATTACCATTCACTCATTCCACCAACAATTGTTTAATTATTTAAGTCAACAGCAACAAAGAAATGATATTCTATCCCTCCTGGATAGATAAGATTCGTTCGACAGATAACATTTAGTTTCTTTTGTTACGTTCGTCACTAGGTACGCTTGAAGCTATTACGAGTTCACCTTAGTCGATAAACGCGAATGAGACAATTACCAGCGTCCAGGTAGGCTACCTTGATCCCCGAACTGAAAAAGAGAAGTCTTGATAAGCGTAGAAAGTATATTCTACAACACCCAGCAATCACAATACAATCAATCACACAACTCTCGTTTATTTATACCATCATAGAAACGTCCTTGGGGCAGTCACGAAAATAACACACTAAAATACTCAGCGGCCAATCACAGTCATGGATTTTCCTTGTGGGAAATGAAATCTCAATGTCAACTGATCAGCCTATGCTCGCAAACGTGAAATCCAAAATAAGGCATTTATCAAGCGAGTTCTGGGGATCTAACATCCCCAACAGCTTTATAACACAGAGTGCTTCTTATTCTGGAAGAGTGCTTCAATTCACAATCAAAATGCACAATTCCAATCAATGCAACCGACACAATCAAAAGAGGAACAAATCAATTTGGCTGTCACCATGACTGAGTATCAGCTTATACAACATAAATACAGTTCAGATAGAAACATAGAAACTCAGTGAAGGCAAGAGAAATATAAACTATAATAAAATACAAATATTATCATCTCCGAAATGGAATCGAACAGATTAACAAAATGTACATTTGAAGGAATCAATAAGGACAAATTACAAATGTATACAACATGGAGAGATTTTCACAAACAAAGCCTTCAAAAAAATAGATCTTATAGTAACATAAGATGGTATAATTCAAACTTGATCACAGCAGACTAGAATACGATCACATTTTAGTTTTCGCTTAGATTTTCTATTTTAAAAATTATTTCATGCCTTTCTAACTCCCATGAATTCATTATCTCTATGTTGAATGTTTAACTACTGTCCTCATATATTTGTGTCATGATAATTTCATATCTCTGTGTACTAATATATGATACAGTAATTTGCAATAATGTACATCAGTCAGTCAGTCAGATGCAACGTAGAACTTCGTACGTAAGTACATCAGTTCATGTTGCCATACCACATCAATCAGCACAGATATATAATTGTCAATTCAAATCCAATAGTAGAAGAGGTAGTAAAGGTATTAGAAGTAATCAGAGAGGTTAGGATTAAAAGATATTCAAGAAATATGATTCAGTGAGAAAAGTTTAGAAAGTCAAAACTAGAGTTGTTGAAGAATCCAGAAGATTAGGGTTTGAGAGAACACAGAGAATAAATGCACCGGCGCCATTGCGAACGGTTTCCAGCCATGTCATTCAAGGTCTCTAACCATCGATTATTATCATCTCGCGGACCCCAACCAAGTTAGTCGACAGCTACCGACATGGCTCAGTCCACTCGTCAATGACTTCATGGATTTCTGTCATGTGTTGGTTTGTCCACCCCTAACTTTCTTCCAACTTACTCCTCCTACACTACAAAACAAAGCTTGTCGAAGCAGCCGGTGGTTAGGCATACGCAAATGATAGATTGTTGTACATGTTGTTCATGACAGGTGATTTTGGTCAAGTTAACCAACTTGTGTCTGCCTGTTCTTGAACATTGAACAATTCAACAAACAAACTGAACAAAATAATCTCAGTGAATTAGCATTTTAATGCTGTATTACAAATTATTGTATGTGTTACTCTCTCTCGATAAACTGTTATTTTTTTTAATTTTCCACTTTTCTTAGATTATTATCAATGGGTACCATTGGTGCTGGGTTTACAAGCTATTCTCTATTATATTCCCCGTATTATATGGAGTATATTCACTTATAATCGTACTGGAACCGATTTACAAAATCTAATACGTCAAGCTAATTTAATTGCTAAAGAAGATGGTGAGAAACGTCAGAAAATGGTACAACACATTGCTAAAACCTTAGAACTACTCTTATTCAATCGTCGTGAATATCGTACAGCGGATACACTCGGTGCATCGTTTCGTCGTTCATTGGCATTTATGCCGGGTAAACGTCATGGGAATAATTTAGTCTATGTATATTTAACTGTCAAAGTGTTATATTCGATTGTTGGATTTTTCCAATTATATCTGATGTATTTTTTCTTACGTTTCGATTCACGTGAAGGTTATTGGTTATTTGGTTATCGTGTATTATCGGATATTATACAAGGAAAACAATGGACTGAGACACAAGTATTCCCTCGAGTCGGTATGTGTCGGCATACATTACAACATGTCGGTGCAAGTAATGCACTGTTTGCTCAATGTGTCCTACCGATCAATATGTTAAATGAAAAAATCTACATTTTTCTATTCTTTTTCTTGGGGTCAGTTATGTTGCTAACAATGTTTAGTATACCATTATGGTTATATCGTATGGGTTTGAAACGACGTCAACGTCATTTTGTCAGGCGATTTTTAAAAATTGCCGATGTCTACGATCGTGACGACCCGAAATTGCCAATTCTCACAGATCGTTTCATGGCTGAGTTTCTTCGACAAGATGGTCATTTCATTTTACGTATGTTATCAATGAATGCAGGGGATTTGATTACAGTAGAGATTGTGTGTCATTTATTTGCTGATTATAAGAAACGTTTCACTGGTATTGATTTTCGCGGTCCACCTATTGTACCGAAAATGCATAAATATCATGATTATGACGGTTATCTATCGTCACAACATCCTCATCATCATCATCATCAACCACATGATATTATTAGTCCCAATGAGATGATTGCCAGAACAAATAATATGGACAAAAATCCACCAGGATTTATTCGACTAGAAGAAGGTGGTACAGCGAATTTACGCCAACGACCAGTTCCACCATCGGCTCCAGTAGTTGCAGACAATCCTATTCCACCAGCCTATCAACAACAATATCCAACACCAACGATGAAAAATCCTGAAATGTATCCATTAAGTGTTGTACGAAATATGCCACGAGATACTCCTCCTGCTGTTGAATCCAGCAACAATGTCACTCATGCAAATCAATATACTACTCCTAAGAAAATGGACGATATTAATATTGTTGTAAATGAAAAAGACCAGCCCAGCAAAATACCACAGTACACACCTACAGAAGTATGATATGGTATGATATTCATAAAACTAACTTAAAAGGGTCAGAGAGTGTGTGTGAGTGTGTGAGAGACAGATAGCGAGAGAGCCGAAACCAAAAAGCCGGCATACATGTGGTCGGTCATCTTGTATGATTGATTGATTGTTTACTCAACTTACCAATGAATGACAAAATGATGATCTCATCGGTCATTTATTTCACTTGTAATCTTATCTTTAATGTGTTGCTCTCTATAAATATCATCTGTATGATGTATGTATCTATCTATGTATGTCTATGTTACATAATGACTGAACACTATTTCTCTGTCTGTTTATATCAATGTTCCAATTAAATTTTTCTCGTTTTCTAGACAAGGAGAAAACATTGTAATGTAATGACTTACTACTACTACTACTACTACTACTACTACTACTACTACTACTACTACTACTACTACTACTACTACTACTACTACTACTACTACTACTCACACTACTACTACTACTACTACTACTCACACTACTACTACTACTACTACTCACACTACTACTACTACTACTACTACTCACACTACTACTACTACTACTACTACTACCACTACTACTACTACTACTACTACTACTCACACTACTACTACTACTACTACTACTCACACTACTACTACTACTACTACTACTACTCACACTACTACTACTACTACTACTACTCACACTACTACTACTACTACTACTACTACCACTACTACTACTACTACTACTACTACTCACACTACTACTACTACTACTACCACTACTACTACTTTGTGTGTGTGTGTGTATGTTCCTTCCCCCCCCCCCCCCCATTTTCTCTTTTATTGTTTTTATATACGAACTTTGTTACTATTATTATTATTATTATTATTGCATATTTTGTAACGCATTAGTTTTGATGTATGTTTAATTTTTCTGTTCTCCTTCGTCTGCTTCGTCAGATACACAAACTGGTTTTATGATTTTTCAGTCAGTCAGTCAGTCAGTCAGTTGTAACGTAGAACTTCGTATGTATGTACATAATAAGTTCATGTTGCCATACCACACACATTAGCACAGAGACACGCAAATGTCAAATCAAATCCCATAGTGATAGTAAAGATAGTATAGAGGGATTAATGGTAATGAAGAAGACTAGGGTTTGAAGATATTATTATTCAAGAAGTATAATTCAGTGAGATAACGAATCCAGAAGATTAGGATTTGAGAGAGCTCAAAGAATGGATGCACTTGCGCCATTGCAAAAAACGATTTTGAGCCATGTCGTTGTTCAAGGTCTCTAACCATTGGTGACTATGGTCTCGCGGACCTCAACCAAGGTAGTCGACAACTACCGAGCACAGTTGCAATAGACGGTCGCCATTGTCCGTTCTTTGAGCCGCAACCTAAGTGTCTTTCATTTTTACTTAGTCTACCTACCTGAGCATTAAAGTCAACAGCCATTATTATTACATCGGAGCGCCTAGCTTTTATGATTTTTAAAAGATATGTGTACCTGTGTGTGTGTGTGCGTGCGTTGGTTTTGTACTGATTGATTATGAGAGTGTACCATAGGTGGTTAGTTGACCGTGCAAATTTATGGGCACATGTTAAACATCAATGTGTAACCAGTGACCCCTTCAGCGATTGGTCCTACAACGTTGAATTCTTGTACTGTCAATGAGAGAATGAATGGTATGTATGCTAGAACCCAAAGTTGTCCAGCGCTCCTTGATTTCTCATTGTCCGTGTAGTGGAAGTAGGTACACGGCTTAAACTGTAAATTGAACAGACTTCACATATACACCTATCCATCCAAATAAT